TCCCATAGGAACAGGTGTTAACCAGATGGACATGTACACCTTGTGTCCACGACTTGTTCAGCTGGCTAGTACATACTCCCATAGGAACAGGTGTTAACCAGATGGACATGTACACCTTGTGTCCACGGCTTGTTCAGCTGGCTAGTACATACTCCCATAGGAACAGGTGTTAACCAGATGGACATGTACACCTTGTGTCCACGGCTTGTTCAGCTGGCTTCAATGAATTACCTAAGGCATTGGACAGTGATGGTATATTAACCTTCACACTCACTGTTGCATAGAAGTTCATACCACGTGAAAAACATGAGTACATGTATTTATCGTCTAATGAAGAAAAGTAGCTTTTTGTTGTGTTGTTGCTTACTGTTCAAGTTACACGTGAGATATTTAAGAAAATAATTCGACAAAACAAAAATATTCTGAATGTTGGAAAAGTTTTTTTCTTTGATGGAATTCGGATAACATAGTTATGAACAAAATTTTTGTGACGATCGGTAAAGAAAAGAATGTGCAGAGCAATTTCTATCAAACTCTATTTATGGTAAAAGTGACCTAGTTTTTGACCGTAGAGGGTCCAAAAACGAACTTGTACAAGAAGTGATGTTTGAGAACACTTGTGAAAATTTCGTAAAAATAGGAAAAGAAATCAAATGTATGGAGCGGTGACGCCGTTTTGGACACGTACATCGTGTACGAACGTGCGGAATGGTCCCTATATACTGTCGATCTCTCGTCGTGCAATGGTATTAACACACAAACCGCAACACAATGACATTTATATTCAATTTAATTATCATGTCAAATTCAAGTACATTATATTTCTGTCTGACTTCACAAATGAAATACGCTTGTAGATTCCTTTGTTAGTGTATGTGCCGCATCTTCTAAGATTTAACTTCCGGCTCAAATAAGTTGTTGCACTAAACAACCATACGTATCTTAGTGGATTTCAGCGTCACACTTTTTAGATTTATACTGAACAACTGTGTGGTGGCCATAATGTTCTTGTCCACTGGTTAAAATGACATTGCGACCAGCACTCTTTAATCAAATAAGTGCAAGGAACGATGACGTCATCAATTTATCTCCAGGTCGAGTTTCTTCTTGCGAGCCCGTTTTCTCACGATGACGTCAAATACAATAAGAAGAACAATAGCCACGAAAGACGAGGCTCCCATGACGTGGAACGAGAAGTGAAATGTATTGGTGACGTCACGAAAATAGCCTGAAATGGATTGTGTACACATATAGTGTGACGTGATACACACATTTTAGTATGACGTTTAAATATCAAGCTCGTTATGGTTGTTAAATTTCGCGGGGGTAATACTTTGCGATTTTGGGTCCGGAAGTTATTCGCGAATCACAATTTCGAGCTATTATTCATTTATTTTTATTTTAACAGTTAACTTTTTTTATATAGTGTACTTTTTTCCAAAACGATGTTTTGACCTAGTAGCTACATCTCAACTGATTCCACGGACTTGTGCAGCGTGGATGTTATAGCGACGATCTCAAAATATTCACGAGGGTTTTAATTTTGCGAATTTTAACACGTTCGTGAAATTCGCCAAATCAAATCCCTCGTGAATGTTAGCAACTATATAGTACTAGCGAAATATTGACTCTGAGTAATTAACTAGAAAACGGTTGACATGGGCGTTATATGAACAATGTGACGTCACTGTACCAACGACACTTTTTGATATACATGTACTTGAGTTTGTCTAGCAGAACAATAATAGAGGGAAAATATAATGAAGTATTTATAACACTTACGTTTGATAATTTATGATGTCAAAATAATAAATTATAATGAACTTCCTTAAAGATGGTTCAATGATAGTTTATTAGAAAGGCCTAGTTCAGATCCTAATACAAAACAAAAGTTAAATATAAACAAGTTGGATGCAGTTTAACTACTTATATCATAATGAATCACTTTCTACAACAATCTTCTCTGTCTTACCTAAGACTGGTAGAGCGAGACCATTAAACAGACAAACACAGATGATGAATACGGCCATGGCACTTCGGTAACGCTTCATTCCAACAATCTCTATCATCATTGGCGGGAATAAGGCGGCTATCATGCCAGCGGTAGAGCCAAATATGGCGACAAACACGACCAGACGCCAAAACGAGGTGTAATATACAGTAAACTGTAGTACAACGCCAACCACGATCTAAATGGAAACCAATACTACGATTTAAGACACGAATGGTTTAGATATACTTACCCACCCAAGACTATTATAGATCATTGCACAGAGTTAATGCTACATATAGGTTAGTTATTACCAGTTACTTACCACTTTGTTTGTAATATTTCGTATTACATTAAATGCAAATAAGAAATTATCTTTCGTCATCTTGTACAAAGAATGCTATTATGAATCATGTAATATGTACTCATATAACATATAGGCATTATTGCATTTGAAAAAGAAAATAATGAAAACTGAAATATTACCGCTGTGAACCGCATATCGCAATGTGTTCATGGTACAGTAAAACCCCGTTATACTGTCACTGTTGTCAAGTTAAATATTGGCGTAAGTTTGGCGTCATACGTACGGCAGTTTGTAAAGAAAAAGGGAACATTGGAACACGTTGGCGATTAGCCAGTTTGCAATGAAAATAAGGTGATAAATTGGGTTAGAATCTCTACAAATATCAACATAATCCAAAGTATGATATATTGTGTGCTGACGTGCAGAGCGGAACTGGTCACAAAGCGTGCTAATCACGATGATCTGACCCAGTGTTTGCTATAAAAAATCGCAATGGCTTTGAAACCACGAATAAACCCCTTCGTTATAATGGACGAGAAACTAGATATGTCGTAAAATAAATACAATCGACTTAGAGTATCAGTTTTTGCTTTGTGAAATATAAACTGCGAATCATCTTCATTTCGCAAATACACGAAACGGTCGAGCTTGCAACGAATTTCAACAAAAGGTTTAGAAATTACAATTCTTGTCTTTTTTTAAATCTGACTACTATCCGTCTGAGATTCAATCTCATGCCCAAAATAAACAGAAATTTTCAAATATTAAAAAGAAATAACAAAAAAAGAGAGAGAGAGATAAATGCTAGCACAGGATCGAGAGACAAATTAAGCCAGGTTATCAAACATTATAATTATAGGTACACTTTAGTGTACGATATTTTAATGCCATGGACCTTACTAGCGATACAATAACAGCCTTGGTAGGGTAGACTTTGAAATCAATTCGGTTTGTCTCCATTCAGTATATGATTTGAGTGCCTGTTTATATCCAAAGAGATCATAATTCATGGTATTAATATTCGCGGGGTATTTATTTTCGCGCAATCTTTGATGACCGGGAAAACAGTCAAAATAAACACCCCGCGAATAATATCATTTTTACAGTATGTACGACTAGATGACTCACCTGTGAGAGAATGACTACCCAGTGCGGAGTGATCGATGACAGATCTGCCAGATATCCTGCAAGGATACGTCCAACGAAGTCCGTTACACTCATTATCGAAACGATGATAGCAATACGTTGATCATCAATACCAATATCTCGGGCGTAGGTCGGAATATAAATGTGGGCACACATAATGGCTACATTTCCAAAACAATAAATAGTCAGAAACAGAATAAAAAGGACATTTTTCATCAAAGTACAATCAATTTTGTTTTTACATTTCACCAAGAAGCTTGTTTCAGTTTTGAAGTGTTCTCCGTCCATCGCTATGATACGGTGATCTATTCTCCCCGGAAGACTAGATACAGAACTTGATGCTAAATCGCCATTACTTAAGTAGCGCACAATACTGGATCGCGATATTTTGTCAACGATATCATTCGTATCGTTTGCATCATGTGGACTGTGCTGTTTTGCTCTTTTTGTCGAAATTAAAGGATACAAATTATTAGAATCCCCTAAACAGTCGTTCGGGGGGGTTTCTTTGGCATTGTTTTCGTTGGTGGGACTCTCCTTTTCAACATATTCACTTCCCTGTGTTGATTTCTGTGGAATATTTCTAGTGTAGAATTCGGTCGGACGAAGCAATGCTGCAGCCACCAAAGAGTTCAAAGTTATTCCAGCAGTGATTATAGGCCCTCCACGTAGACCATATTTGTCAAATACATACCGATATAGTGGCGGCATAATGATACCTCCGAGAGAATTTCCGGATATAAATATTGCATTCGCAAGGCCTTTTTTCTTGTCAAAATATTCGCCGATAAGCATGAAGATCGGTGGATTGTGCAACGCATTCCCTGTACCTAAAACAAACCAACAACAACGACCTAGTGAACCGAGTAAACCGGCATCTGTGGAACTCCAACACAAGGCATACTCAATGGAAATAGGATAATAGTCTGATTGAAATAGGTAGAGATGAATGAGTCACATGCGATGCACCTTTAAAAGACAAGTAAGCCAAACATGAATTACACTGTATCATATAGCTGTTTCGTCCTTCTAGGATTCGTCAGTGATGCTAGGGGCCAGACAATTAGGAATCCAACTTGTCTAAACCACTGTACAAACAGGGGACAGGTTCGTAAAACACTAAACCACTGCACAAACAGGGGACAGATTCGTAAAACCCTAAACCACTGTATAAACAGGGGACAGGTTCATAAATCCCTGTACACACAGGGGACAGGTTCGTAAAACCCTGAACCACTGTACTAACAGGGGACAGGTTCGTAAAACACTAAACCCCTGTACAAACAGGGGACAGATTCGTAAAAACACTGTATAAACAGGGGACAGGTTCATAAATCCCTGTACACACAGGGGACAGGTTCGTAAAACCCTGAACCACTGTACAAACAGGGGACAGGTTAGTAAACCCCTGAACCACTGTACAAACAGGGGACAGGTTTGTAAAACACTAAAACACTGTACAAACAGGGGACAGGTTCATAAAACCCTGTACATACAGGGGACAGGTTCGTAAAACCCTGAACCACTGTACAAGCAGGGGACAGGTTAGTAAAACCCTGAACCACTGTACAAACAGGGGACAGGCTCGTAAAACACTAAACCACTGTACAAACAGGAGACAGGTTCATAAAACCCTGTATAAACAGGGGACAGGTTCGTAAAACCCTAAACCACTGTACAAACAGGGGACAGATTCGTAAAAACACTGTATAAACAGGGGACAGGTTCATAAAACCCTGTACATACAGGGGACAGGTTCGTAAAACCCTGAACCACTGTACTAACAGGGGACAGGTTCGTAAAACACTAAACCACTGTACAAAAAGGGGACAGGTTCGTAAAACACTAAACCACTGTACAAAAAGGGGACAGGTTCGTAAAACACTAAACCCCTGTACAAACAGGGGACAGATTCGTAAAAACACTGTATAAACAGGGGACAGGTTCATAAAACCCTGTACATACAGGGGACAGGTTCGTAAAACCCTGAACCACTGTACAAGCAGGGGACAGGTTAGTAAAACCCTGAACCACTGTACAAACAGGGGACAGGCTCGTAAAACACTAAACCACTGTACAAACCGGGGACAGGTCCGTAAAAACACTGTATAAACAGGGGACAGGTTCGTAAAACCCTGTATAAACAGGGGACTTAAAAACACTGTACAAACAGGGGACAGGTTCGGAAAACACTAAACCACTGTACAAACAGGGGAAAGGTTCGTAAAACCCTAAACCACTGTACAAACAGGGAACAGGTTCGTAAAACACTAAACCACTGCACAAACAGGGGACAGATTCGTAAAACCCTAAACCACTGTATAAACAGGGGACAGGTTCATAAAACCCTGTACATACAGGGGACAGGTTCGTAAAACCCTGAACCACTGTACTAACAGGGGACAGGTTCGTAAAACACTAAAACACTGTACAAACAGGGGAAATGTTCGTAAAACACTAAACCACTGTACAAAAAGGGGACAGGTTCGTAAAACACTAAACCACTGTACAAAAAGGGGACAGGTTCGTAAAACACTAAACCCCTGTACAAACAGGGGACAGGTTCGTAAAACAATAAACCACTGTACAAACAGGGGACAGGCTCGTAAAACACTAAACCACTGTACAAACAGGCGACAGGTTAGTAAAACACTAAACCACTGTACAAACAGGGGACAGGTCCGTAAAAACACTGTATAAACAGGGGACAGGTTCATAAAACCCTGTACATACAGGGGACAGGTTCGTAAAACCCTGAACCACTGTACAAACAGGGCACAGGTTCGTAAAAAAACTGTACAAACAGGGCACAGGTTCGTAAAAACACTGGACAAACAGGGGACAGTTTCGGAAAACCCTAAAACGCTGTACAAACAGTGGCCAGGTTCGTTAAAACATTGTACAAACGGGGGACAGGTCTGTAAAAACACTAAACCACCGTACAAACAGAGGACATGTTCGTAAAAACAGTTTACAAAGAAGGGACAGGTTCAGAAAACCCTAAAACACTGTACAAACAGGGGACAGGTTCGGAAAACCCTAAAACACTGTACAAACAGTGGACAGGTTCGTTAAAACACTGTACAAACAGGGGACAGGTTCGTAAAACACTAAACCACTGTACAAACAGGGGACAGGTTCGTAAAACCTCTGTACAAACAGAGGACAGGTCCGTAAACACTAAACCACTGTACAAACAGAGGACAGGTTCGTAAAACACTAAACCACTGTACAAACAGGGGACAGGTTCGTAAAACACTAAAACACTGTACAAACAGGGGACAGGTTCGTAAAACACTAAAACACTGTACAAACAGGGAACAGGTTCGTAAAACACTAAACCACTGTACAAACAGAGGACAGGTCCGTAAAACACTAAACCACTGTACAAACAGTGGACAGGTTCGTAAAAACACTGTACAAACAGGGGACAGGTTCGTAAAACCCTAAACCACTGTACAAACAGGGCACAGGTTCGTAAAAACACTGTATAAACAGGGGACAGGTTCGTAAAACCCTAAACCACTGTACAAACAGGGAACAGGTTCGTAAAACACTAAACCACTGTACAAACAGTGGACAGGATCGTAAAAACACTGTACAAACAGGGGACAGGTTCGCAAAACCCTAAACCACTGTACAAACAGGGGACAGGTTTGTAAAACACTAAAACACTGTACAAACAGGGGACAGGTTCGGAAAATACTAAAACACTGTGCAAACAGGGGACAGGTTCGTAAAACCCTAAACCACTGTACAAACAGGGGACAGGTTCGTAAAACCCTGAACCACTGTACAAACAGGGGACAGGTTCGTAAAATACTAAAACACTGTGCAAACAGGGGACAGGTTCGTAAAACACTAAAACACTGTACAAACTGGGGACAGGTTCGTAAAACACTAAACCACTGTACAAACAGGGGACAGGTTCGTAAAACACTAAACCACTGTACAAACAGTGGACAGGTTCGTAAAAACACTGTACAAACAGGGGACAGGTTCGCAAAACCCTCAACCACTGTACAAACAGAGGACAGGATCGTAAAACACTAAACCACTGTACAAACAGGGGACAGCTTCATAAAACCCTGTACAAACAGGGGAATGGTTCGTAAAACCCTAAAACACTGTACAAACATGGGACAGGAACGTAAAAACACTCTACAAACAGAGGACAGGTCCGTAAAAACCAGTGATTTTACGGACCTGTCCCCTGTTTGTGCAGGTTTTTACGAACCTGTCCCCTGTACCTGTCCCCTGTTTGTTCAGTGGTTTAGTGTTTTAGGAGCCTGTCCCCTGTTTGTAGAACCTGTCCCCTGTTTCTACACTTGTGTAGTATTTTACGAACTTGTCCCCTGTTTGTACAGTTTTTTTACGGACCTGTCCTCTGTTTGTACCGTGGTTTAGGGTTTTACGTACCTGTCCCTTGTTTGTACAGTGTTTTTAAGTCCCCTGTTTATACAGGGTTTTACGAACCTGTGCCCTGTTTGTTCAGTGGATTAATGTTTTACGGACCTGTCCCCTGTTTTACAGTGTTTTAGGGTTTTACGAACCATTCCCCTGTTTGTACAGGGTTTTACGACCCTGCCCCCTGTCTGTACAGGGTTTTACGACCCTGTCCCCTGTGTGTACAGTGTTTTTACGGACCTGTCCTCTGTTTGTACAGTGGTTTAGTGTTTTACGTACCTGTCCCCTGTTTGTACAGTGGTTTAGTGTTTTACGGACCTGTCCCCTGTTTGTACAGTGGTTTAGTGTTTTACGAACCTGTGCCCTGTTTGTACAGTGGTTTAGTGTTTTACGAAACTGTCCTCTGTTTGTACAGTGGTTTAGTGTTTTACGAAGCTGTCCCCTGTTTGTACAGTGTTTTTACAAACAGGGGACAGGTTCGTAAAACACTAAAACACTGTACAAACAGGGGAAAGGTTCGTAAAACCCTAAACCACTGTACAAACAGGGGACAGGTCCTTAAAAAAACTAAAACACTGTACAAACAGGGGACAGGTTCGTAAAACACTAAACCACTGTACAAACAGTGGACAGGTCCGTAAAAACATTGTACAAACAGGGGACAGGTCTGTAAAAACACTAAACCACTGTACAAACAGGGGACAGGTCCTTAAAAAAACTAAAACACTGTACAAACAGGGGACAGGTTCGTAAAAACACTAAACCACTGTACAAACAGGAGACAGGTTCGTAAAACACTAAAACACTGTACAAACAGGGGACAGGTTCGTAAAACACTAAAACACTGTACAAACAGGGGACAGGTTCGTAAAACACAAAACCACTGTACAAACAGGGGACAGGTTCGTAAAACCCTAAACCACTGTACAAACAGGGGACAGGTTCGTAAAAACACTCTACAATCAGAGGACAGGTGGTTCGTAAAACCCTAAACCACTGTACAAACAGGGGACAGGTTC